TAATGAGCAGATTTCCTCTGACGTGGTGCTCCATTTTACCCCACACTCTTTCTCCTTCTTTGCCTCGTATGATTCAATGTGGAGCAAATTTAATGCTCTATTTGTAGTTTATCCCATGGGCCATTTTACAGTCGGGTGGGTAGGTGGGTAGGCATGTTTACCATTTAGTGGTCTATAGGAAGAAAAATTAAAAGCCTCATCACAAAAACCTGCTTTTTGTAATTTGATACATAATCAGTTTTTCCAATGGAGCGCTTCGGTGTCAAATAAAACACAGACAAAGAGGTGAATCATGTTCTTCATTGTCTGCACTTGCCCCTAATCCAGACAGTATAACCCCACTGTTTTGCTTTCTCCTGGCAGCTCCCTTAAATGTTCTGCCGCTGCTGCCGTCCCACCCTAATAATGTCAGATTAAGCTCTGCACAACTGTCCATCTGACATGAGGGCTGGATTTGTGCTGGATTTGAAAATCTGGACGGGATGCCTCCATCCAAAAGCTCTGTAATTCTGCACACACACACTCACAGAAGCAGATTAAAAAGCAGAGGATGCGCAAGTCCACGAAGTCTGTCGGTCTGCCACGCTGCCGTGCACAGTTTGGCACGGGTGCATTTTGCTTTGCCCTCGATCGCTTTGAGGTGTCTGGTTGCGTCAAGCCCCGAAAAAGTTCCTCAACTGTCCTGAGCTGAGTCCCTCATAAACAAGCACTTTGGCAGCAGTGCCGCAGCATTGTTTTAATCTGAGGTTGGGATTATTTGAACATGTAGCTGGGTTATTCATGTGTCGATTGTTATCGGCAACGACAAGGACGCCGGCTTTGTGGATTTCAGAGATTTGGGGGGTTGGTGGGTGCTCGACCCTCCCCTGGCACAGATGAACACCCCGGAGGCTACAGTTCTGATTCAGACCAGCCTCATCCCCAGACATGCCCCGGTGATGCCCGTGTGCCTCACTGGGCACGTCCCTATTTTGTTGCAGCTGACGGAAAGAGGGGGGTGGGGGATGTTGGGGGTTGATGGGGTGGTGGGTGATGGTCACCCAGATTATGCCTCATCATACGGCCTATTTACAATTGACACCAAACAGTGCGGAAAACAGCGGCGCAGAAACGCAAACTGAGCTCATCGGGGGAGTCGGTTTTGTTTCATCATATAATTTCGAGGTCCATCACGTGTTCCTCTGGTTGCTCATGTGACCTGTCGGCAAGGACCAATAGGGTGTAAGAGTTTGTTCTGGGCAGAGCAAAAGGCAAAAAAAATAATTTTCCCTTTGCAATTTTTAATCGTCCAACGCCGAAAGTGGTCGTCAGCGACTGTCTCCTGCACTGCATAAAGGTAAACCCTCTTCTTGTTGCTTCTATTCAGGAAAAACTTGTTAAAGCTCCAGAGTGAGCCTTTTCCTTTACAATAATAATAATGAATAATTTGCATTCTTATAAAAATTATTTGTTCTCTACTTTAGTTAAATACATACTTGAGTTGATTGCTTGACTTCCAGGCACATTAAACAGTTGAAACTTTAAAAAATGCCGCTCCTCGCCGAGTTGGGTATCGCCATCAATAATTAATTAACTTCATAACTTACCCACAGCCAGGATTAAATCATTACGCACATAATGAGCTGTGACATGGTGCAACTTATCGACCTATTGTTACCTAATTTGATGCTTTCAAGTTTACGTTTTTTGTAAGTTAGCCTCAGTGAGTGCCAATAAGATGACCCATGCGGGAGGAAATATTTTGGTTCTCCCTGGGGAATTTTATGGTCAGTCGATTTTGCTTTCAGGCGTCTCTTGATTCACATTGTTTAGGTGTTCGTTGTCTTGGTTTAGATTCAAGCATGAGCGATTTTATTGTTTCGAGAATTAGCAGTGAGCACGAAAACAATAGTAAGTGGAAGAAAACCTGCTTAAATTCTGCTAACGATGAAGCCGGACCGCCCGAATTTATAGTAGAAATGATGCTCAGTGGAATTGATACATCAGCCCCCGTGCCACCCCCCAACAAAAGATCATTATTCCAATTATCGTCACATAGATATTAGCACTGCTGATGGCCTTATTTGCAGCTAGTCATAGACCAAAAATGTCATTTGCCATTACTTCAGAAGCAGCACTTGGAAACCGGCAATGAATAACTCCTTTGTTTGGGTGAAAAGCTTCTGTTTGGCACTCAGATTAATAAAGTCTGATACACTCAGAAATTTTCTGTTGGGAGGTGACAGAGGCCGAAAAAGAAAAGAGGATGAGGACCTGGATGAGGATGCGATTTCAAGCCGTTCTGCTCGACCACTCGGCGAAAGCCCCCACGTATGGAAGCCATGACTTTGTGACAAGCAGTGATCTCACATTACAAATTGTGGCAAATCTAAAATGGCCGACTTAACGCTGGGCTCTTAGCGCCGCATTCACATCACAACATGGTGCGCCTGCATTGTAAAGCTTACTCCTCGCCCTCCCCATCCACCCCAGGACACTTGGACTATTTTAAGGGAACGCAGAGTAGGCGGTGAGGTATTTTTAAAGCCACTTGGCGATACTTGGTCTTCACGTCTTCCTCGCTCAATTTGTTCTCTGATTTGACTGGTCGCGGTGAAGATGTGGTGGCCAGAGTTTTGATTGTGATTTGGGCTGAGGTATCAGGATGCTGGGCTGCTGATGTGGGCTGACAGCTCTTGAGAGCACTGTCATAGTGGCGTACAGGAAGGCTAACTGGGCGGACGCCCCCCCACTCAGCCGCGTACAACAAAAGCCTGTGCCAGACGAGACGAGAGCTGCTCATATACCAGGAAACGCAGGGCGAAAACCTCAGGACTTAGAGCAACTCTTCTCCATTTCTTCTACTTGATCTTGCTACAGTTACTATTTCTGACAGCAGCTAGCAATTATACACCACCATTTTCCTGTTACTTCAACTATCACAAACTGCAACTGAGAAGAGATTTGTGGGTGTAAATGTGGAAGAGAATTGCCAAACAGTGATTTGAGCGGATCCACAGGAAACATATGGATCAATGAGGTCACCCTCTGCCCAACAACCCAGTTTTGGGCAAACATATTGGCAACATTACGGATACACGTTTTCTCTTGGTTGCTTGACATGCACCTGCACACATCTGTCAAGGTGTTTGTAGCATCATTAAATACTGCACCACTGCATTAATTAACCCCATAACTGAAACGCAAGTGTTTACTGAACCTTCTGAAAAATTAAATATAAATGAATTAATACAATAAACATTAATTAGCATATGTACATTTTAATTTGCATCATATTTGTTCAGTTTGGCATTGTTGTGAAATTAATTTTGTTTTTTCAGAAGGAAGAAAAGATCACACTGATGTAGAGGTCTCAAAGACTCATGCATCAAATACGATACGAATGGGGCTGCAGGCTCAACGTTAGCATGGTTGGTGCTGGAGGTGGAGCTAACAGAAGTCAGAAAATTTTAAACAAATCTTGTCAAAATTTCTTAGAGCCAAATGCAGTTAAATTTTTATGACATAAAATACTAAAAAAAAATACCCCTAAATTTTAATGGAAAGAGAATCTGCTTTAGTCATATTCTCTTGGTTATCAATATGGTGGTCGACCCACATAAGCTCCACCCACCAAGTGCTTGAGAAACTAGGACTGGCGACTAAAGGACCAATTGCATATGTTGTTGTTGCCCTTGGCAAGAGTGAGAGTGACAGCAGACTGTAAAAGTGCATTATCTTTTTTACGGCAGCTTTTGTAAATGGTAAAATTCAATAGTAAAAATATGTTGGTTAAAAATAAAAATTTGAATTTGTGGCAACACCTAACAATGAAAATAACGCTGCAGCTGGTGACAGGTCTGTGCTGATGCCACTGTTTACAACAAGTACAGTAAAAATAACGGGCCCTATTAATTAACCTTTATCAGACCTGTTGCAGAGATGGGAGTGCTGGGAGTGTTGGGAGTGCAGCTGTCCAAAGAGTTCGGGGAGACCTCATAAATGAACACAAAACAAGAAATTGGATGGTAATCAGAACAAAGATGTCCAGATATTTGCATTATTATATTAAAGGTAATTAATTAACTATCCCATGAACACTTTTTAATGACAGAAGACTGCACACAACTCGCTTGAAACTTGCCACCTAATCAGTAAAAATCTTGCCGTCTCAAGCTGCAGATTCAATTTCACAAACCTCGGCCGTGCAGCTTTGGCTCAGGCTCTGTTTGATGTCGAAACGTCATAATGACATATCTGTAGATATGTGGATTAGGATGGAACAGATGACAGAGGCTTTGGCCTAGATTAGACTACCGGCCGCCCATTTAATGATTTTTCTTTTTCTGCTCCTCTGTTATTCTCGTGACACGAAACAGCAGCAGTTAGTGCCTTGTTTTTCTACAGGGAAGAGTTTGATTAATTATCCTCTTTGTCTTCGACTTTCACATTATGGCGGATGTCACGGTGACGGTTTGCACTGTCAGTTTAGCCCCGCAAAATAAAAACAGCTCACAGTCGAGGCCGAGGGTGGAATGAGAGAAAGTCGCAGAGAGTGACTTCATCCATAATGTAGCCCTTGAAATGCAAAGCACCGACGGCTTCTGAATTCAATAACCTACATTTTAAATCAGTATGTGAGGCACTACATTAGTTTCCTGGCCAGATAAAGTTTCACATTGCATCTTTAATCTATAAAAAGTGGCCTAAAGCTGAACATTTTATGCAGAAATCTGATATTCTGACCCCTCACACCAAGTCCACTTTGATCTGCAACCACCTCTGCCCAACAATTTCCAATTAAGAATAGATAATACAGTTAATGTTAGTTTATAATCAATAACCAGCTTCCCTCCTTACTAAAACAATTTTCAAAAATAGCCCCTTAACTTCACTTCTGCGAGTGTTTTTCCATCATTCACGCAACACCGGCTCTGCACAACAACAGCGTCTCCTCATTGTTGGCGGGAGATAAAAGAGGAGGAGTTCGAGTTCTTCTAGAGCAGCTCTCGAGCCTTTTCTGCGGCGAGTGCCGAGCAGACGCAGCGTGAGATGATGGGAGGAGAGGGGAGTTGGG